CCGCTGGCACTAGAGGCACAGCATGGCCGCGTAGTGACGGCCCCGACCACTGCCGCTCGACCTGACCGGAGAAAACCGTAGCAGGAAGCTAGCGAAGTCGTAGTATATATCGTCAAATAGAACTATATATATCGTCAATATATATCGTCACAAACATATATATATATATATTGTCCAACTATATATCGTCAAACAGAATATATAGCATATAGCTTGGAAGGGCGAGGTAAGGTACAACACATTCAACCGATCAAACAATTCTCTTTCATTAAAAAATAAAAGAGATCCATTCGCAATAGTCTCCACGAGCTACCCATCAAACAAGAGAATGGAGAAAGAGAACAGTGATATTATCAATATCTCAAACTGCACACTCAGCTTCATGATGCAAGCAGCATACGAATCATTTTGCCGATTGCCTTCTCTCTCCATCTCCCCTCATTAGCCAACTGGTGCTAATCAGTAATATCATACAATGTCAAATTTCAAATGGTTTATATGGCGGGAAAATCACGCTGTACTGTACTCCGGTACCTCTCTCTCTCTCTCTCCACACACACACACACACATTGGGCCCTCAAAATGATTAGGCAGGACTCTCTCTCTCTCTCTCTCTCTCTCTCTCTCTCTCTCTCTCTCTCTCTCACACACACACACACACACACACACACACACACACACACACACACACACACACACAGAGGGTCCTCAAAATGAGAAGGCAGGATCTGCATACAGCATTCCCCCAGCATCACCATGGGTGTTATATCCCTCAATGATTTTTTTCTCCTATATTCTCTGTCTTCCTCCCCTTTGTCGACCCCATAAGAGTGTTCCAGAAGATGGAGTCACACGGTTACCCTGACGTGGAGCAGCTGCATGACGAGCAGTGAGAGAGGGCGGTGCATGATCAAAATCAAGATGGCTGTAAGGATCAGGAAACAACACAACCACTTTCCCTCAGTTGGTGTGCGGAACAGCAACTACAACACCAAATGCTGAGCAGCAGCGGAGGGTGGTTGCACGAGACAGGACATCAACACGCTCAATGTAACTCCAAAAAATGCAATCCCCTTGGGACCTTCTGTGACACCGTTCTGTCAAATTCGAAACGAATAGTGCCTGTAGGCCATGATGAAGCACACATCTGACCGCTGAAATTTGATGAAGTAGTGGAGCAACAACAACTTCATTCCGCTTTCCTCTATTCTTCACTTACGTGTTTCTGTGCTGCTCAAATCCTCGTCTTACATCACGTCCACGTCCACGCAGCCACAACGTTAGTTACCTAGGTATTGGTATATATCTTCCTTGATGAGATTGCAATATCTTCCTTGATGAGATTTGGAAAGAAGTCCTACCTACTCCAGTCGTCAACTGCAAAATTGAAGCAGGGAGGTGAATGGTGGTGAGTGTGCATGCGATTAATCGGGGGCAAATTACGGAGGAGGGAACACCAGCAGCACACAACCTCTACAATGCTGCTCAAATCCACGTCTTACGTCACCTCCATGCAGTCACACAGTTAGTTACCTAGGTATTGGTGTCATCCTTGATGTATGGTGAAGAAGTCCACCGCTACGCTCCCATCTTCGCTGGAGAAGCGAGGAGTCTAGCCGGATAAATGGACCACCACGGGATGTATCAAACGTCTCCAGACTCTCCACCAAGTCCACACGGCTTTGTTGGACAACAGATCTTTGCCACTCTCCTGTACATGGGACTCCTCCACTCTGGGACATGGGACTCCTCCACCCTGGGACAGTGGTAACTCCACTCTGGGACATAGAACTCCTCCACTCTGGGACATGGAACTCCACTCTGGGACATGGAACTCCTCCACGTTGGGACATGGAACTCCTGCGCTGTGGAACAATCGAACTCGTGCACACCGGACTCATGAAAGTCCATTGCGCATCCCATCATCAAGCACGTATAATTGTGCCGAACGTATAACGATGGAGATGGACCCATTCTCACTCCACCAGGCAAAACACCGGACTGCGGCGCATAAAAAACTGCGAAGTCGCGTAGTATTACAAGATTAGCTGCATGTAAGTATATCTACCATTCCATCCATCTCGCGATCCTTCTTTCCACCACTTCCCGTCCGCCATCGCTATACACGAAAGAGGAGCAGGGCTCTCCTCGGTAGAAGGGGTCTCCGCCACATAGGATACCTCTCTAGAAGGGGTCTCTGCACTAGAAGGATACCTCACTAGAAGGGGTCTATGCAAAAGAAGAGAGGATACACTAGAAGGGGTCTCCGCACGAGAAGGATACCTCACTAGAAGGGTCTCCACTCTAGAAAGGTAGGGGTCTCTCCTCTACCGTAGTGACACAAACCCCTTCCAGGACACCTCTCCTCACTAGAAGGGGTCTCTGCCACATTGGAAAAAATTACAACTTGTTTGAAGACAGGTCAGAGGGGATTGTATGGCAATTAAGACATTAATTAATAACCTTTAAAGTTTAAAGCTCAGCCCGCATAACAACTACATGATGTTCGGGTTCTCTCAGCATCCGCGACGAGTCGGACTAGCTTTCACACATTACGATTATGGGCCTCGCTGCACTACTCTCCAAATGTGCAAMATGAGAATGAATCTTCCGCTAGAACATGGAAAGATGCACCGCCGTACTTTTTGTCTGTTGCGCATGTGGACAGTAGTGCAGCGAGGCCCTATATCAGTTGTATAACTTGTATTTGCATCCTCAGTGTTGATGGGACAGGTGCAAGACAAAAGGAAGTGACCCAGAAGCAGAAAAAAAACAAGCGCAGCCAGCGGTGGAACACCTCACCACCGCGGCCAGCTTGAAAACTTCGCCAAACTTTCCAGATCAGCCCAGCCTCGCACACCAATCCGACCGTTCCACAAAGCGGCACAACTTTTCCTTGACATATATTCGCAGATAAAAAAGTTAAAAAAAACGACCGAGTGTAGCTTCACGAGCTCACTTACGCATGGTTCTTGGGCAGGTTTACTGCAGGACGCCAGCATGCAACCTCTCACTCTGACAGTCCTACTACCGATCCTTGCTTCCCTCGATTACGAGAAACTGTAATATGTAAGTTTGTGATGCCCCCTCTCTGAGGGGTTTAGATGATGACACCCCCCCCCCCCCCCCCCCCCCCCCCCCCCCCCCCCACCTTGGAGCATGTGCAAACTCCAAAAGCATGAAACCTACACATGAAACCTGGCCTCTGCCGGGCCCAGCAGGGTGTCCCTTGGAAAGCAGCCTATCATCCCAGCAAAGTGTCCCTTGGAAAGCTGCCTACCATTATCATGCCCCCTCTCTGAGAGGTTTAGTTGATGTGGCCTCGCCCGCATCCCTCCCCCCCACCCTCTCCCCTCCCGGGAGCGTGTGCAAACTCCAAAACCATGAAACCTGGCCTCTGCCAGGCCCGCCATGGTGTCATAAAACCTGGCCTCTGCCGGGCCCAGCAGAGTGTCCCTTGGAAAGCAGCCTACCGTGGAACCATGAAACCTGGCATCTGCTGGGCCCATGCTCTGCTGGGCCCTAGGTGTCCCTCGGAAAGCAGCCTACCATGACACAAACTGATAAGCATGACAGGGGATGTTCATACCAACCTTTTTCGCAGCTCTTCGAGCCTTTGAAAATTGAAATCGAATTGAAGATGATCTGGCTTCTCTTCGCAGATCTCATCGTCATCATCATCATCATCATGCCTGAGACTTGGGTGCAGAGCCATCAGGTTCCCCAAGCAGAGGCTGGTATTCGCTAGCGCTGGAGTGTGATTCGCTCCTGACCATTGGCGAAGGCGGCGATGTCGGAGAGTGGTTCGATGCCCAGACTTGGTAGCAGAGCTTTGAGATGACAGCAACCGGAACGGACACAAATGTGATTGCAATGCAGACACCCCAAACTTTGGGCGAGAGAGGGACAGTGCTTGCGAACTGACCGAGCAACTGCACCAGCACGATCTGGAAGAACGTGATGAAACCCATGATGCCAAGGAAGACCCAATTCGTGAACAGCCTGCCAAGCACCCACACCTTCTCCGTGTTTCTCGAGTTCACGAGATTGAAGAGCTGTTCGCAAGGGTCGCATTATTTTCAAAATAGACACCAAATGCCACCACATTCACAAGCAGCACAGCCACCGATGTATTTAATAAGATCCTTGTTGCGACAGACGCACGCATGCATCGAGTCCACACCATATGGTCCATTAGTCAAATCTCACCTTAAACCACCAGTACTTCTGAGGCACTTTTTACCAGGGCGCAAAACACCCTACGCACCAGGGAAAGAAAAAAGAAAGGGAATCCGTGGCGCCCTCCTTTTGGCTGGCGCCGCCAGCCATTTTGCTCCAGCAGACGGCCCCTGAAACGTGCGGCAGCATGCAAGTCGCATCTTTGAACAATTGGATAGGAAACGTATCAGCTGTGTAACTGATCGCCCTTTCCCACAAACCAGTAGTCAAACTTCAAATCCCGTGCCTACCGTCTTCACCCAAGTAGAGCACCCTGTCATTCTCGCTGCATCTGGACTGACAGTTGGCACAAATACAGATATAATGACGAGGCGTTCTATTCCGATGAAGACGGCATTGAACAGTTCCAAACACAAACCCCACCCCAAGCAAGAGTCCCGATTGCAAATCCAGTCCTCAGACCCAAATCCCACTGAAAAACAATTCATGTGTTAGTTCACCGTAAACCGCCGGTCAAGCGTACACCCCTCAGGAGGTAGGACCACCACAACACAACTTAAAAACCTCCATGGCCAATGGTGAGAAGAGGAGGAAACAGGGGGGGCCATGTCTTGCTGGTTCAGTGATCCACTCGCTCGGTCACTCAAAAAACTCACACACTCACACACTCAGGGCATACTCAAAACTAGGACATTTTCTACTTAGCTCTGGATGTGATTCCAGTCACATTCATCCAGGGAGGGTCGTAATTACAGTCAGATACATCAACGAAAGTGCTCGGGTGAGAATTTCCGTCACACGCTCAAGAGGGAAGACGCTGGTGAGCAGAGGGCAGGGAAGAAGAGGAGAGCTCGAGTAGGTGGATGGCTGAGGAGGAGGAGGAGGAGAAGGGGGAGGGGGCGGGGGAGGGGGAGGGGATGGAGGTCAGACATTCAGGCTGAACCAGATAGGCTTTGGTAAGGAAGAGGCGGTTTGTGGAATGGGAGCAGGGAGAGAGGAGCAGATGAAGAAGAGGAGGAGGAGGAGGAGGAGGAGGAGGAGGTAAAGCGTTGATGATGATATACGATCAGTGTGAGCAGTCAGTAAGTTAGGAGATGGTTGGCAGTGGTGGAGAGGAGGTGGGGAGGAAGCGGAGGCAATGAGGTCTAGAAATTAGAGACTGATGGGCGAGAAATAGGGCAGAGGTGGGGGCGGGATCTCAACTCACACACACACACACACAAGAAGAAGAAGAAGAAGAAGAAGAAGAAGAAGAAGAAGAAGAAGAAGAAGAAGAAGAAGAAGAAGAAGATGGGGATGACAATAGCATATGCATTCAGTATGAAACGAACAGAAAAAGAAAAAAGCAGTGCGGAAATTAGGCTCATGTGAAACAAACCCAAAAAAAAAAGGGAAAAAAAAAGGACTCACCTGAAACAGTACAAAGACATTGAAGATGATGGTGTTCATCTCTTCATCCGAGACAGGGAAAATGGCAATTTCATAAAGAACGTCTTTTCCCCGGAAGAACAAAGCGACGAGTATGGCCAACTGCACGACCCACTGTAATAGGATGTTCGTCCACATGGGCCCCGAGATGACTTGCGCCTTCCGCCCTAAAGCTTTTTTCTCCATAAGGTCATCCGTTGGTGGTTCCGTGGCTAGGGCCAGGGCACCTAACGTGTCCATGATGAGGTTCACCCACAACAGCTGTGTTTCATCAAAGGTCACACACACACACACACACACACACACACACACACACACACACACACAACCTCCTGATGAGTCAGTGCAACTCCGACGAAACAATCTATCATCACTTTCATTTTTTTTAAGTTTTTCACTTTGTGTATTTTTGGGACTGTTCTTTTGTCTGCTAAGCTGTCTTCATGTCTTGTTGCCTTGCTGCTTCTTCACTTCCTGTCCGTTCTTTTCTTGCTTAGTGTTGTTTGCCTGCCCACCCGTTTCCCCCATACCCTTCAGCCTACGTTCCGTGCTGTTGCATCACCGCCCTAGTGCTACTTCTAGACTTGTTGTTGCCGACTCATTCTTCTGCCTAGTGGTGTTTGTCTGCCTGCCCACCTTCCCCATGCCCTCCACCCTTTGTTCTTTGCTGCGGCTTGCAGTCCAAGTGACGTGTTGCGTCTTGATCTTAGCCTTCGCCATCTTGTTTGCCTTCTTTGTACTTGCCTTGCTGCTGGTTAGTTTGGTTTTTGTTTTATGTTTCCCTTTTTTTTTTTTTTTTGTTTCATGGCTTTTGAAGTTTTGAAAGCTGGCCTGAACATCCTGCTCCTATCTAACGACACTAACAATCTTAAAGGCGGCAAGGAAGTTTGGTTCCACCTACTCAGAAAACTGGCCCTTTGGGTAATCTGGAAGAGGAGATGCTCCAAGACGATCGAAGGAACTGAGGTGCCAAGAGAAGAAATGTGGGCTCTACTGCTGAGAATGGCTGAAACAGAGATTCCATCCAGATGGCGAGAAGTGACCATGACGACGAAAGGCAGACCAGAAAGGATAGCCACAAAGAGACGTAAATTTAGAAGAGATTGGCTTCTACAGGGAAAGATCGCCACTGTGGTGGACAACAGAATGGTGTGGAAGAAGTGGCATAACACAAGAACAGGGACCCAGTGAAGAGCAAACTGAGATTATAATCTCAACAGTCTAGACAACTCTCCCCTTTTCTGGCTTTATACATATTATCTGGCAGAGACATTGCAGTTTCTGAGAGGAAAAGTGGTAGGGCAAGCTGACAGTCAATCCTCCTGTTAGGGAGTAATCAATGCTGGTCAGGGTTCCTTCGGCCAGACGGAAGGAAGCGTGTGAGTGTTCACCATGTATCTCATTTTCGACTTGCCGGTGGAGAGGAACCAGACTGACGCTCCCCAGAATGGATATGGAGCCAGGACAATAAGGACCTGTTAAAAAAAAGAAAAAAAGAAAAAAAAAAAAAAAGAAAAGAAAAAAAAAAAGGAAGGGGTATGGCCAGGAATGGGCCAGAACCTAATTGCTAGGGCAATCACCCGCCTGGCCCAATGTAAAAAAGCTCAGGCCTCTCTAATCAGACGGGCGATGTTAATTAACACAGCGATCTTCTCCACACTGTGGTATATGGCATCCATCTGGTTCCCCCCGACGACAACATCAAAAAGTTGAAGAACAGGGTGAGATGCTACCTGTGGACAGGCGATCCTAACAGGACCACTTGCATCAACAAGGTAGCATGGAACCACATCACCAGAAGACCTCAGGAAGSGGGCCTCRGAATCATCGACCCYAAACAGGAAKCCATAGCWTTGCAGATGAAGTGGATCATCAAGATCCTGATTAGTCAGTTCCTCCCATGGACTCAGATGGCGCTAGACAGCATCAGAAACCTAGCCCCCATCAACTCCCCCCCAAACATGAACGGRCTGTTTTGGCTCATGGCTAMGAACTGGACAATAAAATCGGGCAGRCCACGCAGGAGAAACCCCGYACAGCCTACARACCCCACTCCAACAGCCAGGTCATACTGGACCCCCACCATCAAAGCCTGGCGTAGAATGATGCCAAGCAAACACGGTGCACCAAGAAACAGAGAAGAGGTTCTAAGACAACCCCTGTTCTGCAACCCCTGGATCACCGACCCCAACGGCGCGGAATGGACCCTACGCCCCAAAGACCGCAGGTGGCTATCCTGGGTTGAAAAAGGGGTGTGGCAAGTCAGACACATCTGGGAAGAAGACCAAGGACGATGGACCACTGATCAAGAACTACACAAGGTCCTCAAAGGCTGCTACTCCCTCCCTGAAAACTTAACGCTGATCCAAAATAGCATCCCGCCGCACTTTCTCCACCTCCTAAGGGAGGACTTCTCGTGGAAATCAGGGGACTGGGGTGTACTAATATCCCAAACCCAGCCTACCCGAGCGTACAGATTCGTCGCCAGAATCTACCCATCTGGCTACCTATCCAAGTTCTACTCTTACCCTGTAGCCAAGCACACCACTAACGAGTTGGAAGTCCAGAACAGAGAACCCCAGTGCGATTCACTCGATACATTCCGATTGAGGAAAGTGAGGGTCTCAAAGAACAAACCCTGGATACTCTTTCGACCGGACCTCAGCATCTCTGAGCTGGAATTTGATC